AATTTAATCAGTAATATTTTTAAATATATTTTTTATTTATAAAATTATGGATATATATTTTATTTTTAATTAAAATAAATTTTATCAGTAATCTTTTTAAATGTAAGTATTTTTTGGTATATTTGTTTTATTTTACAGATTTAAGTACTTTTTTTGTTCAAAAAATGTTTAGGGACTTAATCGTTTAAAATATGAAACTCCATTGGCTTTTTTCTAGACTTATTCCATTATTTTATCATATTAATCAGTTGTATATGTCATAAAGGTGTATCTAACAGGTTTTAGGAAGTCCAATGAGTTATTTAACAGGTTTTGGAATGTTCAAGAACTTATTTGTTCCAAAAATTGTYCAAGAACTTAATCATCCCAAACACTAAAGTTCATTGGGTTATTTTAGATTTTTCCATTCTTTTTTAACATAAATACAATATTTTTATAGAAATTTAATTAAAATAGTAATTTTTACCGGTTGATTTCACCTAGGGTGTAAATGAAACGAGACAACTTGCGAGGTACATTAACCACAAGAGCGCTTCCCTCTCCTTAAGTCATTATTCACAGAATAAAGTCCCCTCTCAAGTCTCAATAGAAAATTTATAAGTTTAGAACATTAACCACAAGAGCGCTTCCCTCTCCTTTGCCTGCGACGATCAACGAGTCAAATCGAAAGCCTTCTCAAACGTCGTCGATGACCTTCCTCTCCCATAGTCATACGTTGATGACAATCTATTTCTCACACGTCAGTGACCTTCGTCTCCCCCAGTCACACGCCAGCGACCTTCGTCCCCCGCAGTCACATGCTGATTATGACCTATTTCTCACACGCCGACAATCTTCCTCTCCCACAGTCACACACCGGAGGAGACCTCCCTCTCACACGTTTTCTCATACCTCGATTTCCTCTCAGCCTCCCTCTCTTTTTCTCACAAGCCCATTGTAAGGAACTATTGCTAATGTTTTTAATTTTTAGTTTTATGTTAGAATCTGATTCGATAATTTGTTTTTAGTTTTTGTTTCAAGTTAGTTTGCTTTTGTTTTAGTTTTTCGTTTCAAGTTAGAATGTAATATGATTCTGTTTTTAATTTTCTTACTATTTTTAGCTTGAATCTAACTGATTTTAAGTTCGGATTTGAATAATTTGGTTACTTGTTTTTAGTTGGAACTTCATTAGGCCACTCGTTTTTAGTTGGAATCTGATTATATAATTTGTTTTTATTTGGAGTGTAAGTTTATTTAAATATGCATGCATTTATATTTCTAGTATGTTTGTAAGGAATTTAATTAATGTTTATGTTTGAAAGGAATCTGATTAATGTTTATGTTTTATGTTTAAATATGCATTTAGAATTCTAGAGATGTCCAATTGACCACAAGTATCTTCCACGACAGTTGGTGTTTCAAATGAAGATTTGCATGTGAATGTTGATGGAGGAGGATCAAATGAAGGAGAGAACGTGTCCATGGAGGTTAATAAAGAGCCTTATGACCCCCCCCCTCCTAAAAGCAGAAATAAAGAAACTGAGACTAATAATAACCCTTTTCATACCTCTAAAAGATCAAGAAGATCAAAAGTATGGGATGAAATTTTTGATCCTGAAATAATAATTAAAAAATCAATGGAAAGTAAGGTGTAAGTATTGTAAAACTCTCCTTTCTCTTTTGAAATCTAAGAGCAATACCCATATGAACCAACATTTGGAATCTTGTGTTATGAAAGCGAAACATGTGAGACAACAAAAATTGATTAATTTTTGCCATCTGCTTCAAGCATTGGTACAAATCAATCTAGATTTGTTAGTGCTTTACGTAATGGTAAACTTGACATGTTAAAGATGCGAGAGAGGATAGCCCATTGGATCACTATACATGAACATCCTTTCAGTATTGTTGAGGATTGAAGGGTTTAACTTGATGATGAAAAGGGGGATACATGAATGGAACCGTGTATCCCGAGTTACTATTAAAGCAGACTCTTTCAAAGTCTATGAGTTTGTGAAGAAAAAGTTAAAAGATTTGTTCAAGAAGTGGAACGAGTAAGTTTGACTACAGATTTGTGGAAGTCAAAGCCACAAAAATTTGAATATATGGTGATTACCGCTCATTTTGTGGATCTTGATTGGAAGCTTCAAAAGAGGGTGATTAACTTTGTTCATTTGCCTCCTCCACATAAAGGTGTGAATATAGCTGATTGCATCTTAACATGCCTAGGGGAGTGGGAAATTGAGGACAAAGTAAGTTCTAATTTGGTTAATAAATTAGTGCATACATGTATTTTATTTTATTTATGATTTGTGTACTAATAAAGCTTAATCTTTGTGTATTCGTGTTAGGTTTTCACAACTTCTGTGGACAGTGCATTTGCAAATAATTCTTGTATTGCAATTTTGAAGAATAATTTTGAATCAAATCGAAGGCTTATTTTCGATGGAAAATTGTTTCATGTCCGATGTTGTGGCCACATTCTTAACATTATGGTTCAACATGGTCTTCAACAAGTGAAGGACATTATTGTGAAAGTCCATGATATCGTTGATTACTTGAACTCAAGTGATGCACGTGTTAAACGTTTTGGTGAACTTGTAAGCCAATACAACATGAATCATCAGAAGTTAGTTCTTGAATGCAGGACACGTTGGAATTCAACATACGACATGATAGATTGTGCCATCAAGTTTAGGCAGGTATTTCCTCGATATGTTTTGCATGATCGTAATTATACTTCTGGTCCTAATGAAGAGAAGTGGGGTAAAATTACAAAATTGCTTGATATATTGAAAGTATTTAAAGATGCTATTAACTCAATATATGGTTTTGAATATCCAACTTCTAACTTGTTTCTTGCTGAATTACAAAGGATTAAAGTTGTATTGGATAAATAATCTTAGTCGAATGATAATTTTGTTAAAAGTATGGTAAACCACATGAAAGAGAGATATGATAATATTGGGGGGAATGTAACATACTAATGTCAATAGGAACCGTGTTAGACCCTAGATTGAAAATGAGGGCTATAGAGATTGGATGGCCTAAAATGTTTCCTTTTTAAGTATAGCTCGAGATGATATTAGTAAAGTCAAAGAAGTGATGTATGAGCTTTTTGATGAATATGTGAGAACGTATTCTTCTTCTATCGGGGATGAAAGTGGAGAATGTGAAGTTGGATCAAATACTCGTGAAGGAAATGATGGATTTAGTGGTTTATCTTAACTTCTGTTAGATATTTTTAGTGGGGAGACATTGGTAACTCGTGTGAAATCTGAGCTTGATATGTATCTAGAAGAGGGGTGTTTCTGTAGTCAAGACTACAAATTTTAATGTCTTAGCTTGGTGGAAGGAACAATCAAACAAGTTCCAAATTTTATCTAGAATGGTTGCAAATATCTTGTTTGTTCCTATCGCTAATGTGGCTTCAAAGGCAACTTTTAGTCCTGGTGGTCGTGTAATAGATCCTTATAAAGCTTCTCTTGCTCCGGGAACGGTACAAATGTTGATGTGCACGGGTGATTGGTGTAGATCACTCCATGGAGTGAAAAGGAAGAATAAGGTAAATGTGTAAATATGCTAAGTTATTTGTCTTTACTTTTAGCAGGTATACTAATTTGTTTTTGTTTTACTTGTAGGAGAACGATGAACAACCAAAGGAAATCTTCATTCAAGTGCCGTTCATGGAACCCGATAATTTAATTGAAATAAGATCGTGTTTTGATTTGTTGATGGATTTATAAGTACTTGGTTTTGATATTGTATTTTTCTCGACTTCGTTTTGATTTTGCTTGTAAGTTGCAAGTAGTTATGATTTTGTTTTGTGTTTGATTGTAAACTCTAATTTTCCGGATTTAATTTGCTGGTATTTTAAATTTATTTTGAACTTCTATTATTGTTATGCATTAAATGAGTTTGAGCTCGTGTTCAAGCTTGATTCGAGCTCGAGTTCGAGCTTGATTCGAGTTTGAATTCAAGTTCGAGCTTGAGAAATAGTTATTGAGTTCGAGTCGAGCTTTGATTTTTACTACTCACGAGTTTCGAGTCGAGTTCGAGCTTTGAAATTGAGTTTTGAGTTCGATTCGAGTAGAGTGATACTCGAGTTCGACTCGCATCATTTACACTTCCTTTTCACCACGTAATCATTATGACCGGCAACATGTAGGATAAAGGTTATTATGTTATTCAATCTATTTAAAATAGCGGGTCAAAACAGGTAATTATCCATCTCATAAACCTACTATCCATAACCTACCTACCCATTAAAACAACAGGTGACGAAACGCATAATGGATAAATGGTGAAACCAAATTCCATTTTGAACTATATGAAACCTCAAACATATGTGCTAGATCAATCAATTCGAGATCTCAATCGCATCTGGGAAATATAACAACGGATCTGTATGTGATACTGCCTGGTACAAAGAAATCAAAGATTCAGTTCCCTTTTTCACCAATCCCACTTGAAAAATCAAAATAATGACAAAGAAATAAGAAATCTGTGATATAACTTGATCATACATCAAACATATACTAATATGTGAAACTAGGATGAATTTAGTAATGTATTTCCAGTGTTTAAATGAAAACCCATATCAAAAGTTTCATAAATTGATCCAAATAGTCTAATTAGTTGATACACAAAATACCAATACCAATAC